AAAAGGCGCAAAAAGGCAAACCTTGTCATGGCAGCGCAGAACCAAAACAACAAGCGACTGTTTTGGATACTTCTGCATCGGCCTACAGTGTCCTACCGTTCCTACGCGAACAGCAGCAGTTTTCCAATCCTGGCCCTAGAGTCACCCAGTGCAGAAACAATGGCAGATTAAGTTGCATAGCTTTCTTCATTCAAATGCGATTTGAAACCAGGAAATTTTACAGGCACTAGAAATACAGAATTCAAATTCAAAAATCAAAAAACTGGTCAAAAGTGAAATCATAAAAATCATCATAAAAAATCATACGCTAAAAAATGCAGTTTTTTCAACTCATAAAATGTATCACAAAGAAATCATAAAAATAAAAAAATCATGTTTTAAAACCATCTTTTGGCTACTTCCCAAGTCTTAACACTATAAGTGTTGGTTTGTTGGGTTGCGACGGAGGGGTGACAATGATGCCAATGTTGTTTACAATCTCAACCGCTGCGTCTGCGAGTTTGCAACACAGTATTCAGCCTCGTCAGCTGTCGGGAAGACCAACCACCATCCTCAATTTTCAACCGTCCAAGGGGCGTGAGTGTGAGATTTGTCACCATGAAGTGCGCGCGGTAGAAACTCGGGCTTGTTCGTTTCGAAGGTTGACCGCTTGTCAGGTGTGTCTCCGCGCATACACTGTTGAAAGGTCACTCGAAACAGTTTGCGTTTGGACCAGCATGTCAGCCACACGTAGGACTGAGTAGGGTTCTCAGCAGTGACAGCAGCGCGGTCAGCTACTAGGTCAATGATAGCGCACGCATTTTTGTAAACTGCTTTTGCTGTTCGCGCACGTTGGAGATTGCCTTCTGTCAATTGAGGCAAACCTTCTGGGTGTTTTACGGAACGAAGAGGCTTGGGCCCTGGCGCACCTTGGCTTTTTAAACTAAACGCAAAGGTATGCGTTTGTTACGTGCGCGCGAGAGCTGGCGCCACACGGAGGTGCAGCATGGAGATACAGCAAAAGACCTGGCTCATCAAAAACGACATTCAGCTTGCTGGATGCTCTCTTCATTAGCCAGATCCACTGTAATGGTAGGATGAAGTTGCGCGCGACGATTCTTAGAATGGTCAACTGCGACTGTAGTGAAACCCTTGTCGACGAAGTTCTTTGGACAGTGTGCCACAACCAGCGCAAAGTTCTACGCAAACAGCTGCGCCACAGTGGGCGCCTGCTATATAATTGAAACTTGCGTTGCTTCCGAGCGCTGTCATCAAGAGTGACCTCGGAAGGCAGCGCTGTCACGGGTGACCTTTTTGCGAATGATTCCGCAATTCCACCTCACACACTTCTGCCAGCCTTTCTTGCACTTGCCCCCAGCTTTGGCGTCTTGGCAACCTGGCCCTTTGTCTGGTCAGAGCTCTCAACGTGGCCAAAGTTAAGAGCCTTGGTCCTTTTGCGGCGCCACAGTAAGTCTGTAAGAGCTTTGGGCGCTACACCCTCACCATTGCGCCTGGCCAGACCTGCCAATGTGCACTCGGCAGAGGAGCTGCCAGAATCCGAAGGCTCTAACTGTTCGCCTGAGCTGGAAGCATCCTTAACTTCGACCGACATTCTGCCTGCCACACTAGGGCTTGAAAAATTCAACGATGAAGGTTCTCGGCAAAGCAGCTCCCACATGGCGCACAGCTCGCTGCCCTCGACTCATCGTTGACAACTTGCGCGAGAGAATCACGCAGAAAGATTTCACCCAGTTCTGTAAGGTCCTTGCCAAGTCCTTCTTGAACTCTTTCCATCATTCCTTTCGTTCTCGGGTCTGAACTCGCGTTCTCGGGTTCTGAACTCTGAGCTCGCCAATTCTGATCTCCAAGCCGCCCATCATGAAATCGATGGGGGGCTGCAAGGCATCTCGCTGATAGTTGATTGCAGATTTGCGCTGGGTCAAGTGCTATCCTAGCACCTCCAACCATGCCTGCTCAGAAATGTAAGCAGTGTAGTTTTCAGTGAATGACTGGTAAGGTTCCCTATGTCATCAGCAGTAAAGTTTTTCCCAATAGCAACCCCACGCCGTCTGTGACTTCCGTCGTCGACACCTTGGAATAGACAGACATGTGCCCTGTGGACGATGAAGGCAGCAACCGAAACGCTCTGTTAGCTGCTCCTGGCTCGAGAGTGAGATGGGCTCCAGGCCCAAATATTCTCGTGTCTCAACAAAGGCAGCCGCCCAATCAACCACAAACATCCCGTACCTGGGTATGACAACAGGCAGGAAAGCTCACTGCTTCTCCTTTGTGCGGGAAGTCTTCACTCTCATGAGGGAACCTTCCCAGTAATCACCTATGACTGAAAGATGAACGAGTCTGTTCAATTAATTCTGAGGCTCGTATAATCGACCGTAGACGAACGCCAAACAAAATCCAGCCAGCGCCCTCAGATATGCATCTGCTTCTGCGAAGGCCGCCAACGCAAGCACGCAAGTCATCAAAGGTGAAAGGTGTCAACGCAGGAGCTCGTCGCAAAGGCTTTTTCATAAGATACATTTCCAACGCTGCAACGCAGGAGCTCGTCGCAAAGGCTTTTTCATAAGATACATTTCCAACGCTGCACCTTTCACTCGAGCTGAAGAACGAAGCCCGGCGTGCTCACAAAGGTCGAGCCTCTATATGCCGCGCATGCATTCTGCCTAAGACAGCAAAGATACTCATAAACTCTTTCTTCACTGAAAGGTAAATACGGTTGATTTGCATAGATGTTGCTGAGCCATCTGACGTACTGCGCCAGTGAGGACGCTCTCAAGTTGAGCGCGCTTATGGCCTTTGATCTCAAAGTGTCAGCTACAGTCGTGTAGCAAGGGTCGGCTTTAATGTCCAGATCACTTTGCCCCAACAACTGCAGTCCAACGCGTTCGCTAGGACACGTAAGAATGAGCTCAGCCCGTCAAAACAATCTGGGCTCTGTCTGAATCTCCTCTGTCTGCAACGGTCCTGCAACATGATTCCTGAATGACTTTCTTCTTGTGTTGTAAGGAAACAATTCCAACAGTCTCCGCAGATTCACTCAGAGGTGGAAGAGATCTGGGCAGGATCAAGCCAAGGAGTTGCAGATGCACCAAAGATACCTTTCATACATGGGTTGATCTCCCCATGGTCAAAGGGCCTTGGTTGATCCCATAGCTGTAGCTGAACTAAGAGCCCTCTCAATCCTTACGGAACTAGAAGAGGGACCACCACGCACATCAACATCACCAACACTTTCAAGTCCCCTCTTCATTTACATTAACATGTGGGGCTCAATCAACATTTCGTCCCGCCCGCCCTTGAGCTGCGGTCATTCATGAATCACATTCACTCCACGGCTTGACAGGAACAAAGAGCTATGAACTCGTTCACACACCATTCATAATAATGCAAAAACAGTAGATTCGAGGCTGGGAAATGCGTCCAGATTTGGGAGAGCTATGCCATGAAGTTTGCTATGGCCTGAGTTGGCTTTTTTTTCGCTGCAACCTGAAGAGTCCTGAAGAGAAACTCTCCCACCCTTGAGGGTGACTGGTCGAATCTTTTCGCTAAGATCTTTTGGATCATGGATGATCATGGATGATCATGGATCATTCCCACACGGTAAAAGAATGAGCACCATCTTCCACTAACCCTACGGACGGACGACACACAAGTTCCAGCAACTTCAAACTTCAAAGCCAACTCACTATGCTCGGCACATGAACAAGGAACATAGTGCTTTCGTCGGCCGGAGAACAATCACTTACACTGGGCCACACCAAGAACGTACATACTCAGCAGAACAAAGAGCACGCAGAACCGGATTGTGGCTGGATGATTAGGGGTAACTCCAAGTAGGGCAACCCCATGCTTTGAACAGGCGAACATGGCAATGTGCACTTGCAGCAAGTCTCGTGTAGACCAAATTGAAGTTCCATTCGTAGCGCCAATGTCCGGGACTCATGGGATAGTACAAATGCCAATTCTCTTGAGGAATCTGATCCAGCACGGGCATCGCTAATGCTTTGGGATTGATCACCACTCGGTGGAGGATGTGCTGCAGCCAGTGCTTGTTGGGAATGACATGTGCCTCGAGGAAAACGATCACCGGTGCAGTCGCCATTTCGACTCCTTTCATCTTGGCACGCATCAAACCTTGCCTCTCTTCGAAGGCGAAGACCTTCACTTTGCTCGACAGAGCTTTCAGTTCAACTTCCTTTGAATCTAGGTTCCCATCTGAGATCCAGATGTATTCGTTCACCAACTCGTCAGGGGTGAAGTGCAAGATTGCTTTCATGGTACCTTCCATGTGCTGCCATTTTTCAGCAAGCCAGGGAATCACAATGGACACCGTGTGGTTGGCAAAGTCTTTCCTGCACAAAAGCAAAAAGGTGCACGTCGCACTTGAAGCTGACAAAAAATAACACACTGCAACACTGATTCTGCAATGGAACTCACAATACTTCATATGTCTTGCTTCTAAAATTTTAGGCTTTGAGGAGTTTGCCATGAAACAGTTCCCCTGTCCGGTCCTTTTGTACTTGCGACAACCTTCTGGACGCGTATCCGGAGGGTACGGAAACCCTTTTGTAGCGTCTCTTTCTGTTCTTACGCAAATAATACACAATGTACAAAGGGCCAAACGCATGGCCTCAGGCGCAGAAAACAAACTCTGATTCCACACTCTAATTTTGCTCAGCTGAAGTCAAGCAAGTTACATTCACATACTCTCAAACACCCAGCCTGCGCGCCCTGCGCTTTAAAGATCGCTAGAGCATTTGGGAAATTTGAGGAGTGCGCTTTGACCCACTAGCTGCGGCTGCAGTGTCAATTTTTGCAGGTTAAAGGTCGTGAAAGAGAAAAAGACATTAGTCTATAGTAAAAAGTCAAAACAAAACAAAAGGGACTAGCAGGATCTCCAAATTAAAGGGCATCCAAAAATGACCGATGAGTCCTTCATACCAAATACACAAGCAATTCAACCACTGGCAGAATGTGAAAACTCCATTGCTTCGGGCCCACGCCCTCGCATAGCTTCCTGTGGCCAAAAGAGTCATGTGGCTGGACGATGTAGCGAAAGCTGGATTGGTTCCTTGTGAACAAATTCCACCTTTGCCATGCAAAAAATGCAAAAGGTTCAAGAGCTCAACATGAGGTTGGAGCCTTCCAGGTTCCAGGTGGTATTGCCAAACCGTCCTGTGTCATAAAGGTTAAGTGTTAAAAACATTGTGCAAAAAATCACAAGCATTGTGCCTCGGCTTCTCGCAGGAAAAGTGCACAAGCTTCAAAGGTAGAGACACGGCCTGCAAGCACCAACACGCAGGTTGAATTAACAATTGTCAAGGCAAACAAGTGGCAAAGTGCTGCAGAAAGATTCAACCTTTTGGTCGCTATTAGGTTGGAGGCCATCGCCATTAGGTTAGATTCAACTTGATTCAACCGTTTTGGAGTATGTTGGAGCTGGTTTACTGCGCTCACCTTGCCCAGCCCCAGGCTTCAGGGCGTCAATGAGGGGTGAGCGAAAGTGTTGCACACTGTCATCCAACCTGTGCAGCAAACCAACAGTTTCCCGCTTTGCATGTTTTGAAATGTGGTGGAAAGCTGGAAAGGCTCGCCTGATGCAAGACAAAGGTGGTCTGCCCATGGCATGCCTTCTGACTTCAATCTCCGCCCGCAGAGCATGGACCTGCCACGTCCAAAATCCAACTATATATAAAATTTGAAGCTGTCGGAGGTCTCTCTGACTATCATCAGAGAAGGGAGTGATGAGCTTGCGCAGGATCTACAGCAAGGCCCATTGATCTGGCTGACCCAAATGTGGGGTGCTCCGCAAGGCTATGGCCAGATCCAGTAAAGCACACATCCGCACCCGCACTACTTGGAACAAGGATCATTTGCCCTGCTGGGCAACTTGCTTGTGAACTGAGAGTTGCTTCCGGGAAATGCAACGCACATCAGTCGATTGCTTGGGATGTTTCAAACCTTGTTCTACAACAACTTGACGGTGGCAAACATTTTGTGGAGGAAAACATGAATGATTCCAGTCGTGACCCTTCACCCTCTGTGAGTTTGGGTGACTGCCAGAAGCTTGACTCCCAAGGCTTGGGTAGTTTAGTTGCATGCTTTGCTTTAGGGCGGTGCTATGGAGTTACAACCAGGTTCTGGCCACAGGTTAGAGCCGGATTCGGAAACTAATCGGTCGGTTTCTGAAACTAGGGTTCTGAAACTGAGGTTCTGAAACTAGGGTTCTGGAGTTCTGAAAATTTCTGAAACTAAGATTCTGAAACTTGTATTCTGAAACTGGAAAGTCAGATTCTGCACCTGGTAGTCTGAAACTGGACAAGTGTGCATTGCAACCTCCATATCTTTTCATCGCTTTGGTCGTGTTGGTTGCCTTCTTGGCAGTGGTCTGATTTCATCCACCTGCCTTGCCCGTTTCTACCTCCTTGCTTTGCGCGTTGCGGAGGATGGAGCATTTCTGACAGGTCACCTTGTCGGTACCATAGCCGAAGGTGAAGGATGAGGAACCAAAGGGCCAGCCGCAGCAGTGCCCACAGGTGAGGCTACTGGCTGCCTCATGTTGTCATGTACCAGCCCTGACTTTGAGATCACCAATGGTGGTAGAAGGCCGAAGTTCTGGTCCGCAATCTTGCACCATTGGTCGGCTGACTGTTCTAGTTTGTCCTGGGCTGCTTTCAGTGCCCGTACCTCTTGTTGTAACTTCTTCGTGTTCTTCTCCCACGCGGCTTTCTCTTCGCTTGGATTTGCCTTCGGTTCCTTCTCGACGGCGACGATTAGCCTCGATGATGTGGGTTGGAGTGAACTTCCTCCCTGAGGATTTCGCCAGTCACGCCGATTGCTCTGCGGCATCACAGGCATGGTTGCTAGGGCTTCTTCTGCGTATTGTAGGATGACATTGGGCTTCCACCTCCCCAAATAGGCACTTGGGGTACGCGCCAACTACGCCGGATGTATTGCAAGGCCCCCGACCTCCGCGCTGAATGCCCTGTAACCTTCGCGCCGCACAGCTTTCTCCATGACTTCACGATGTCCTCTTTCGCTGCTGGATGGTCGTCCTCGATCGTCAAGGAGTCCAGGAGCTCTTTGGAGATTGCGAATGGGCAAGGGTTGGTTCCAGAGGAACACAATGGTTAGAAGCTAAACTACGACAGACAAATGACCAACCTAAAGATGGTGTATGGAAGCCCGCTCTTCTCTTTGCCTTCTCCTGCATGTGGATGCTACAGGAGATCGAACTCGCCATCGTGATGAAGGAAAACATTCAAATCCAGGAAGAAGATCGCATCACCTCACTATACCTGAGGGTATGAAAGAAAGACCAAGAAGGGGCAGGGTGCAGGAGAAGACTACAGCGCTCTTGTCCAGGTGAACGCTCATCCTCTCGCGCTGTTGTGACCAAAGCCCTGCATCTTCCACGAGCATCAGCTTCAGTTCAGCCAGGTAGGTCATACCCGCCTTGTATTGAGTTTCTTTCAATACAGCGCCTATACCTTCTCCACGTCCTCGGGCTTTATATACAGGCCGCTCTCTTGCCTTCTGCGCCCACCTTGTCCAAGATGCTTTGCACCGATGCCTTCGCCTTCTTCGAGGAGTTCGCCAAGAAGGGTTGACGTATAGGCTATAGGTTGCTCAGTGATTTAACCCGCCTGCCTTTGTTCTTGGCCAAGAAGTTGGCCGCTCGCCGAGCGTGTCCTCGCTTTGCGCGGCGCTATCGCGACCATCTCCCTCTTCCGGCAGTGTGGGTATGTCTTTTCGCCTCTTCTTGTCCTTGCCCCTTTCGTTGTGACCTTCATGTTGTAGCCCTTCTTGACCGCCTCCTCCAAGTCCTTGATGAAGTCGTTCGTATCCTGGTTCTTGCCGCTTCCGTTTCTTTATCATCCTCACCAGCCCAAGACCGGCTTCTTCATCGACCTCCTTCTCCATGGGCAGCACCGCGGGAGGATGATGCCTTGTGTTGAGTGAACCTTCGTTGACTCGATGAATTCATTCTCGATTGGAGCGCTCATAGTTCCCAAAACTCCTTGCCATTGAATCTCGTCGTCACCAACCTGGAAATTCCCGGATCCGCCCCCCTCACTGACTCTCTCCATGGCGGGGAGCTCCTCGATGAAGTTCTCGCCAGGCCATCTTCTTCCTCCGAAGTCTGAGGTATCAGTCTCGGTGAAGTTGCCAGGGCTGAAAGTTCTGCCCTCAATGGTCTCTCGGGTGTCCCGTCTATCAGGTTTGAGTTCTATAATCGCCATCATGATGGTGCCCTGGTCACAGTCTTGTTGTTGCTTCTCTGAATTGGTCGGGTTCTGCTCGACTCCTGAGCTGGACGATGTCGTAACCTGCTGAAGGTGGCGCAGGGGAAGCCGGTGTGGTACCCGTCCACGTGGCCCTCTTGTGCCCATCGTAGGTGGGTTGCATAGGGCCCGCGCGCCGTCAAATCTTGGCCCCAATCCTTCTCTACGGAGATGACCTCCACATCTCGGCCCAGGGGATTATTGTATATCCTGCGAAGGGATGTATGAAGCGAAATCGTCGGGTCCAAATGTATCTCTCCACCTCCTGCGCCTTTTCCTCCGGCGTTTGCCTCTTTGGATTGCCCTGCTTCTTGCCCTTTCGACCTTTGTCTTCTTTCTCTTTGTGATCTTCCTTCTTGTCGTCCTCCTTGTCGTTTTGCTATTGTTCTCCTTGCTCAAGCCTTCTGCTTGCACTTGTGGGCTGGATGTCCCGGTGAGTTGCACTCCGTACAACGGTGAGCCCTCTTCACTTGGTTCTGACACTCCGCTTGCCACAAGGCGCATTGCCGTTCGGCTGTAGCAGAGTGCATCTCCTCCTTCTCCTTTGCCATTCTTTCCTCCTCCCTTCTGCTGATGTTGTAGCTGGCGATCTCCACCACCACTGGAGGACGAAGCTCCTGCTCTCGGCCTCGCCAGCTCTTCTTTCTCTGCCTGAATCTTCCTCCTTTTGTTTTCCTTCCTCTCCGCGTTGGCTGCCCTTCGCGCCGATGATGAAGAAGCTGTCTGGCCCGCTGCACCTGGTTCTAAGGCTGGGACCAAACTCTGCTGTCCAAGGCAGGAAGAAGGGCTTGATCCAGCGAGGCTGCCACTGCAGGGCCAGGAAGAGCGGCGAACAACCTGATGTCGGAACCAGGATCGCCGGCCTCGCGGATGAAGGAAGCCCAGAGCTCGTCCCCCACGTTCAAGTGATCCTTCAGCTCCGTGAGTTCGGTCACCGCTAAGCCAGCTGCTTCGCATAGCTAGGACAGCGGCCCACCACTACCGCTATCCTCCACACGTCAAGGGGGATGGTGGCTTGAGCCAAAGTGGCCAGGTCAGCCACCATCCCCCAGCACTGCACATCGAATGTCCTTCGCAAAATGCCTACCTCATTTTTCTGCGCGAAAGTCAGTGTCAGATTCTGCAAGTGGCATTCTGAAATTTGCAACTGGTGATCTCCACATCATGCGAAAACGCGCGCGCCCGTGACATCACCTTCGAAGCACGTCCAAAATCATTGGCTCCCCGCCCAATCCCCCCCCTTGTCCCCATCGCGCGGTCTCGACATCACGCCAACCCCCCCTCACAAAGTTGCGGAATCCTAGCGAGGGAATCCACAATGTTGCGGAATCCTAGTTGCGGAATCCCAGTTGTAGAGCCCTAGTTGCGGAATCCTGACAGTTGCGGAATCCTAGTTGCGGAGTCCTAGTTGCGGAACCCCGGTTGCGGAATCCGAGTTTCGGAATCCTAATTGCGGAATCCTAGTTGCGGAATCCGACCAAACGGTTGCAGAATCCTAGTTGCGGAATCCTGCACAGTTGCGGAACTCGACTTTATCCTCTGGCCACACCCACATATTGTCAGGTTTTTTCCATCCACTGATGACGCAATACCAGGTTATTCAAGAACAGCAGCCAAAGGCAATCTGATCTTGCGACCAGCCACCTAGCCTATAGGACACAACTCGACTAAGTGACTAAGGCAGGTATTCCGACGCAATGCCTTTGATGTTTGGATCCGTCTCGCCTGATCCCAAGACCCATCAAGCACCAGCCTGCCACGCTCGACCAACCGCCAAGAACAAAGACTCAAAATCAAAAAGGAAGAACACACGACACATCGGATGCGTGCTGCGTTCATCGTGGGTAGTTCTCCTTCCATTGCCGCCCATCCACCCCTTCGACAATCCAAAACTGACACTGATCCTCAGGCCCTCGTGGTTAACGGCCAACCGGGTCAAGGATGCAAAGTGAGATCAGGAATACCACGCCCTGAAAAGGGCATTTCCTGAGAACTCAATGCAAGTACACTGTAAATCCATCTAAACACAGCCAAGCAAAGGTTCCTGCCACTTGCTCCGCCAACCACTCCTTCAAGGTCCTCACATTGAGAACAAGACTCGCCCCACAGCCTGAGGGTAGGCACAGCCCTTTCACAAAACCCTTGTACAAGTAGTAGCACTGCAGGCCATATATATATGGCCAAATGATATTTTGACTGGTGTTGACGGCTTTGACGCAGCATCTCTCCTGCTGCCATCACCAGGAAGCAAAAGCTGAGTGCTGCTGTCGGCAAGGATGGTGTCAAGCACTTCTTGGTGACTACGCACCTTGGAAGTTTCTCAACAAACTGTTTCTAGTGTACTTCCGAGCACAGTCGGATCTGTAGAGGCAACAACCAGCATGTCATCTGAGAGGCGCGCACCAAAAACGAGGAACTCTCCACCTAATAGACTTGCCTGGCAACCCATATTCAAACCCAAAAACATTGAAGGCAATTCCAGAACAGTGGGTTGAACACGTCGGTGTCGCCACAAGTTTCCCACTGCTGCTCGAGCGCATGAACTCCAGCGGATGGCACAGCAGCGCCTGGTCTCAACGTCTCAATGGCATGGACACAGTGTTAACACAAGGAACGAGTTGACCAAGGGCGACTCCCAGTGTAGCTTGCCACAGGTCAGTTCCTAAACAAAGGGCTGGTGATTCGGAACCTTTGCGGTTGACCAACCAAAGTCTGGCCTTTGGGTGTGCGGTCTCCATGCAAACACAGTCTTCCTGTCAATCCCAGAGTTGGCTTCAAGGAAAATCTACAGCAAACTCTGGCTTTGGGGGTGAAAACAAGCGTTTCCTGCAGATTTTCCAATTCGTTGGGCCAACTGCTGCTTTATAGTTTTCAAAACAGACAATATATAATGTATATTTGGCTTTGAGCATTCAGGCATTTGACTCGCTAAGCACGGCTGCTTCTTTCTCGCTCTGACGAGTTGAGTACATTTGCCTTGGAGCGCTTTGGCAAAAGTAGCTCTGCTACTATGACCCTCGTCGCGTTGCGCCCTGGCACACCCTCTCCGGCGGGGCCGCAAGCAGCTTAACCAGATCCGACACGGCACTCCTTTTTGCTTGACCCGACAAGTTACAAAAGGAGTGCTGCTGAACTGAATCAAATCAAATAGTTTTTCATCACCGACCCTCCCTACCTTGAATGAAAGAATTCGATATATATCTATATGTATGTATGTATAATACAATAAAACATATATATATATACCGGTGGCAGCTTACCGCAGTCTACCCTTCCAAACAATTCCTGTTCCAGCGCGACTCACAAAACAACATGGCACTGTGATTTGAGGTTTACGGTATCCGCGACTGTCTCCAGTAGTACACGGCAATCAGTGGTGATTTGTTGTGCTTTGAAGCGGTTTTGATCTATAGCAGCTTCAACGTGACCTTCCGTGATTTGTGATGTGTGACTGTCTGGCGATTTTGAGCGGATCTGCGGTGATCAGAACTTGGCGTTTGTTCATGATCATGATGGATCTACGCGTAAGTTGGCAGGAGGCATCCATGAAAGCGTGTGGCTGAGTGAGTTAACCAATGTCGTTAATTCTTTGGGACATACTACGAAACACAGCAGAACCAAACACTGGCCTTGGTCGCTTGCGTGCTCCCTAACTGCGCTTAAAACTGAAGTAAGCCCAAGAAGAATCCTTAACAGCTTGGCGTTGAGCAATGGCAACACTGCACATTCGCCCACAAGTGCTGTAGGTTTGCAAAACAATGGCACTTTGACTCTTCAATGTGCCACGCGAAGAGAACAACACGCCAGCTTATCGGCATAGCACGTGTGACCGCAAAAGCAAGAACCAGGGAACACGCTGCGGAACCTGCTTGGGAGCCGCCAACATGTCAGCGCGACAGCACCTCAGTGTGACAACCTGCGGAACATGCTCTTGCTCAGGAGCCTGCTCCGGAACACGCCGCTTCAGAACCCAGTCCGGGGCCTGCTCCGATCTGCTCCCAAGTCTTTACTATGGCCTAGGCTGAAGACTGTCAAGCTTCTCTGTTGGGGGAAAGAGCTGAGACCGATGCAAGTCTGGTGCGCCAGGGACTCCGGAGGGGAAGGAATCTACTCGCGACAGTTATTCTTCAAGCTTTGAGAAAAACAGGTGGTTTTCATGCGGGCGGTAAAGTATTTGGATGAGAATGCGGGCTCTTTTGGAACAGCAATTGTCAACCCCTGGTCTGGCTTCTCCAGAGTTGATGATTTCGCGCACTGGTGCTACAGTGGGACGCCTTCCCGGATTTAAGCTACATACATCAGCATGGCGATCTTCTAATGATTATACAATGAGTTTCAACTGTATTTTCTCCTTTCTGGATCTTTCTGGGCAGCTTCTTTACCTACATGTCTGATACATGAGCATTGCACATGTGTGCTATGCGCCTATATCTCTCTCTGGCTCGCTCCCTCCCGCTCGCTCGCTCGCCCGCCCGCCCGCCCGCCCACTCACTCACTCACTCACTCACCCTCTCTCTCTCTCTCCCCTCTCTCTCTCTGGTAACTGTGAGCGGTGAGCGTGATCTGTCGACAAACTTATGGGGACCTTTTGGATATGCGAAACATAGCATTTGGTGCGGGGCCTTGTTTTGCAAAGTCTTTGCGTACGTATGTTGGGCTGCTGAATCCTGTAGGTAGCTCAACTATGTTATCTTCTAAATGTCCTTTGATCAGCGCCTCTCTGCATTTTACTTAGGAGTGCACAAAATGCACCAAATGAAGCCTGGGGAAGCCAACAGTATGGGCACTGCCCCATCTCGCGGCTTGCCTCGCCAATAGAAAGACTGTCGCATAGCGCTGCAGCGTCTGTCAGACTTGGTAGAACATGGTAGAAATATTGCCTGGATCGTGTAGTGCAGCGCATGTCCAGCGACAGAAAGGAAAGGATCCTGACAATCAACGGAATGATCCGGTTTTGTGTGATCTTTACACAGCACCAGTCTTGCCTTCACACCTCTCATTCCTGTATCCTCGTCCTAGCAGTCAGTACGCGCTCGACAAAGCTCAAACGCATCATAGTGGTCCTGACTCTGGGCGATCGCCTGGTGAACACCTGGGTATGCTCTCTATTCATTTTTGATCTGTAGGGTTTGATCACAGGAATACAAGCAATGAAAATAAGAAGGTAACGGCCCCTTCAATGAGGCCCCCTTTAAGGCCACCTTCCTATTTCCCCTTCTTCTTTCATGAGTCACCCCGAGCAGAAGCACGGATCTGGTAGCGCTCCCTGTGGCCAACCACACCCCGTTCCTGCAAAGAACAAGCGCCTGTTGCAGAGTAACAAGTTGCCTTACTATATAGTAACAAGAAGCTACTAGTAGCAAGGTGCATCGCTACTAGGAGGAAAGACGCTACTAGTAAGATTAACTATACGACGAGCGACATACAATATACAAGTTATAATCAATTATATATATATATATGTTATATATTGCAAAGAACAAAAGGCAACAGCAGAGCACTTTTGCTCACTTTTCTCCAAATGTAAGGCTCTCACCTCTTGTCTCTCTCCTGCTTGTACTCGATGCGAATCAGGCGATCGATGACCTTGGTGATCCGGTAGTTGTGCTCCTCTGAAATGTCATCCATCTTCTGGTATGTGAAGCAGTTGCTGTCTGCTTTAAAGGCTGACACTCTCTTGAAGTTTTCATTGATCCTCTGCTTCATGTTGTCCATTCCAGTGATCAGGATGTTGTTCTCCGCAAACATCTGCTGCATTCCTCCATGGATCAACTCTTGGGTCTTTCGCCTCTCCTGTCCAAGCACATGAAAGATCGTTGTTGTCTTCTCATCAAACCTCTTCACGATCATGACCATCATCACTAACATGGCTCCCAACATCAACATCAAACATTCTGAATTCTGTGAAACCTTCGAGAGCAATCATAATGACAACCATCAGCATTGTAGTCATTGCAACGAGAGCGCCTTGTTTGTACAATGCTAGGTCTTCATACCACTGGAACAGCTTGGTGTGTGGCGTTGTATTGTACCATAGAGCTGCTGTCAGAACAATGCTCAAGCACGCAAACATCAACCCCCAGGATGGCCAAGACAGAATCGCCCTTACGGCCTGCTCTGCTTTCACTGGAACTGCTGCGCAAACGATAACATCAGTACTGACTTCGCGCTCACACCTGCGTTCGTGGATGTTGAGGACGTCGAGGCGGTAGCGTTGGAACTTTCCGCATTGCCATCTTCCTCCTCCAACTCGATCGGTATCCTGTTGAGAGATGTGGCTTCTTCGTGATCTTTGACCTTTCTGGCTTTGGCTTCCCATCAGGGATCTCCAACTTGCGACTTCTGGAAGTTTCTGGCAATCTTGGACTTGGGCCAAGAGTCCACTTGTTGGAGTAGAGCACGTCGTTGAGATATGCCAATCCCTTCTGATGGAGTGCCTTGGTCAATGCATCAGCCAGTTGTTGTTCTGAAGGAACCCATCTGCATTCAATGCCTTCCTGTAGACTCTGCCTGATGATTGCTGCTTCCAAAGACAAACGGCGGTCAGAAAGAAGGACTCGTTCTGACTTCATACAATCATAGAGGGAACGGCAGTCTTTCACAGTGACTCCTGGCGATGCAAGTGGTCCTTGCGCAGGCGCATATCCAACTCTCCACGCAACATCTCCAGAATTGTAGCACGAAGCCAAGCCTCAGGAATAGGCTTCTGCGCTCAATGTTGATCGCGCCACACGTTGAATCTTTGAAGATGTCCAATGTACAAAATGGATACGATGCACCAATGACTGATCCTTCATCAAATCTGGTGTTGAGATGCCCAACCAACAACCCTTTTGACTCTTGTGACCGGGTAGGTTGTTGAAGGATGCATCATGTACTGGCACCACTGCAATGTTTCCCGGTTGCCAGGGCATTCCTGGTCTGAAAACAAGCTCCTCCTCCTTGTGAAACTGCTTGACTTCACGGACCAATTTGGCAGCGTCCTTGAGACTGGACATTCTCAAATCTTTGATCTCGCTGGCCAACTTGCTAACCTGGAAACCAATGGAGTAGCACATGATTCTGGGATACCACTCTTGCTGTCCAAGTAGTCCACGAAAAGCTTTTGTCTCACTGGATGTCAAGGTTGCAGTGTTATCCTTTCCTCTCTCACGGCTGACCTTGTACGCGCTCATGTTGTCAATGTACTCTTGCGAATGCACATGGATGGCGCCGTCCTCATCCTGGCAATAGGATCTGCCACAGAACTTCAAGGTTCCATCTGTTCTCCATTGCCCCCACTCAACTTCCTTCTGCATCATCTCCTGCGTGGACTGACATTCCTTTGGGTATTTCTTTTCATCCCAGGCGATGAGAACATCATCTACACGTAGTGCCAAAATGGCAATCATCTCCTTCGTAGCCTGATCTCGAAGCGCGAAACCTGCCAGCTCGAAGGTACGGCTCTCCCAAATGCCCTTGATGGAATGATACCATTGTGTGGCTGCATCGTTCACTCCATAGATCCACTTCTTAAGCTTCAGAAGTGATCCGGCTGGACACCTTGAATCTGAGCTTTGCCAAGGTTCTTGGAAGGCTCAAAGTAGAGTTCTCGATCTATCTTCAGCCCTTGCAGAAATGCTCCACGTACATCTGCCGCGGCTGCCGCAGTCAACTTCATGCGTCTTGACGCCGCAAAGCTGCAGATGACCTGGACGAGCAGATTGGAGCATGTGGGCGAATCTCTTCTCAATGACTCATCATACTCTTCTTGGAAACCTCGTCCAACCACCCTGCACTTGAGCACCAACTCCTCCTTTTCATTTTCATCTCTCTTTTCGTCGTCCTTCTTGGTCCATACTCTTCCAGATGAATTTCTTTCTCGGGATTTGACTCCCTGATCTCCTGGCTCTCCTTTGGTGGGATAATGTCGCTTGCATCAAATCGTTGCCAGGTTCCGATCTCTTTGCCCACGGCCTCCTGCATGGCAGTCTCGATTTCCTTGTCCGAGAACTGTGGAAGCTGGAACTTCATCTTCTGCGGGTTCAATTCTGTGTGCTTGTGGTGTTTTGCGTAGGTGTCAGTCCTCTCAGCCAAAAATGCCCCCCACACACACATGGTTTCCTTTTCCTCTGGGGTCAAGGCATTCTCAGCCTCGGTATGGCTACGATCTTCAAGTCTTCTCGGAAGAGTACCCCGGATGGACTCCGGGACATCATCAAGCATCATCTCTCTCTCTCTTCCTCTTGCGCTCTTCATCATGCGAGAGACACTTGACATCATACTTGGAGGTTCTGAACTGAGAGGAACAGGCTGTTCCTCAGTATTCTGTAGGTTCTGCTCTTCTTTCCAACCTTTTCTTCCGCTTGCGCCTCTTCTTGCTTGAACTTTCCTCCACTTTCTTCGGTCGGCGAAGTCCTTTGATCTTTTCTTCAAGCATCGCCGGCTTCTGTCGTCTCCTCATCTCTTTTCCTCTTCTCTTCCTTCTCAATTCTCCTCATCTCGCGAACTTCTCTTGATTCGTCACCACTCGAAGTGCACTCGTCCTGGTATGTGGCTTCATGTCCATCGTCTGCTTTTGGCGGTGCCCCTTCAGCATCTTCTTCTGCGGCTTCTGTAGGTTCATACTCACCCAAGTTCTCCTCAGCCTCATCCAGGTCAATGGGATCCTGAGCTTTGGAAAGATCCAGAAATCCCTCCTTTCGGTGAAAGTTGATCATCATCCTCTAACATAAGTTCATGCTCCTCTGCAATTGCCCTTCTCAAGTTGTGAGGGAGGATGGGCGTTCCTTTGTGGATGATCCAATATCCTTGAAGATCTTTTCCAATCACCCTTGCTGGCCCGTGCCATTGTTTGTACGCTTTGCGCTTCAATCCTTTTCTCTTGTACATCACGAGCAAGCGCATCTCAAAGGGTCCGGGTTGTTGACGGGTCTGAGAAAGCAAGGCGCGTCTCAATGAAGCGGAACGATTGGCCTTCACAAAGGCATGTTCACAGTCTTGAAGAAGCTTCATCCGCTGGGCCATAGCAGCTATAGCAAATTGATCTTCACTGTCAGCAATTGGAACGCCACGACACCTCAGGAATGTTGGGCTGATAGCCTAGGACACGCTGAGCGGATGAGAATCCTTTGTGGTTGGACAGCCGGTTGATGGCCTACACACACATCGCCACACCAACTCGGGTGAGAATTGGACCTCTGATCTCACTGTCATGGGCCACCTTGTAATTATCTCCTTCACTGTGAGAATCTTCCTCTCTACCACACCATGGCTCCAATGTCCATCTCTCGTCACCAAAATCTCCATCCCAAACCTGTCCAACAGCTCTCGGAAATCCCCTCGAAGTGAACCATCTTGATCAACCTGCACTCGGTCTGGGCTCGTGAAGGCTTCCATCCAATCCACCAGAGACTTTCGGTCTTCCTGGAGTGTCACCTGAGCAAAGGTATGAAGCAAAGGTATAGAAAGTTGCCATGTCTACCATCAACAGAAAGGAATGCGTCACATCTTCCTGATCCGGAATGTGAGCAATGTCCATGGCAACACACTGATTGAAGTGATTGTACTTGGGCGCTCCCGCCATCGGTCGCGCTGGACTTCTCTGCTCCTTCTCACATGTGGGACAAGTGAACAAGGAAGCTGCTTTGATTGCCCGGTCAGATGCTCCAGCGAGTCGAAGGTGTCTGCTGAAGTTCTCCTTGTAGAGGGAGTGTGAATATTGACGGTGGACCTTTGCAATGGCACTTCTCAGCAACACTGGAACCTCTTCCCAGTTCTGGAGCTCCTCTTCCTCACGTTGTCGAAAGACCACATCTGAGCTCCGTTGAAGTGCATTGCGATAAACATCAGCCTCTTCAAGGTAGTATTTGGTCTCACCACATTGCTCCTCCAAGGCCACCTGTCTCTGAATTCCCTCCAGGATTATGACACCGAGCTGTGGAGTCCATTGACCCAAAAAAGCAGAAATGTTCTGTCCACCCTTCTGTCCACGACCTTGCACTTGTGCGTGGGCATGATCACCTGAACAATGGAGGCTCAACATAGAGGCCAGCACCGGCGAGGATGTCACAAATCGTGTTGGCTTCAGCACGTAGTCTCCATTGATGTCCTTCAGGTCACACACGCATTGATCCATTCGAGCAGTGTAGTGAGGTACACGCTCAATCTTTTCCAGCACATGCTTCCATGCCTGACTTGACAATGGATTCTCGAGCAAGTAGCGCCTCCCCTCGGAGACCTGAAGTTCGCATACCTCTTTGGTGAACTCCAAATGTGAAAGGGCCACCTCTTGCTGCATAGTGCGAGTC